TATTTCAAATCAGTGTCCACTGTCATAATTCCATATTTTAGCGTATCAACCTATATGACCTTTGAAGTTAATATAACATTGTGAAATAACCCGCTAGATAAATAAATTATTTGTCGCTAAACGTTAAAACTCGACAAGAATTATGTTTGTAAAAAGTAAAAACTACCTGTCCTTGACTTAATCCATTGCCACCATACAAAAGCCTTTTCATAAGCCTGTTGCCATTTACTGCTGAATTCCATATACAATTAAGTTTCATAAACATTATTCCATCTTTCATCGAAAGTTACACTAACATTGAAATGAATACAGTTTAGTTAAATAAAAGAGTTTGTCTGAAATATAACAATCAATTACCTTGGGAACAATTCACAAACTGTTGAAATCTCAGGAAGAAACATCTTCGTTATGAATCTGTCGGTTGGGGATGGTTACGCCTGTTTTGCAGTAAGCGTCTGTATTGTCTTTATTAACGATGTCCAGTAATTATTGTTGCTGCTAGAAATGGCTGACTGCGTTACGGACACCGACTAAGAACAAATGGCGGATGGAATGTTTTAAGAATTACGTAAAAAAGTATTAATATTCAAAACCAAGTAGGAAGTGTTCGAGATGCATAAGAGAAAGAAGCTATTATGTGATGGTAAATGACCTGACAAAGGAAGTGTTACCAAACATTAGTTGTTTCATATTCAAATTGAATTCAAATCATATTAAGGCCAGATAAAACTTTCTGTCTTCGGAAGAAGATAGTTCCTCGGAAGAATCAAATTCCTCAGCCTGTCTGTGCAGAAACACTAATTACAATGAAACGAGTTTTAGAAACATCATTTTAATACACTTTGAAATATTGATATTTCAGAGACACCAATCAATATGGTCTCACAGTATTGTGTAATCAGTCTATTGACTCTAACATTAAACTACGTGTACATATGGTAATACCTCTACCAGAACAGCAATTTACGACCACGAGTTTGAATGTACTAAAATCAATAATGCCATTCTGTGACTTTGAAACAGTGAAGTAGCGTAGAGTATTTTACAATCTCCGGTAATAAAGACAAATTTGGAGACTTGCATTTCCGAATCTATTAATTCATATGTAATTTGACGACGCTGTATTATTTGTGAAGGGAACAATCATCGCGTACTTTATGCTTCCAAAATTATCTGGAGAGTGTTGGTTGAGTTAGGTTAAACGTCATGAGGAGATAGTAAATATTTACATCGCTGTTTGTTTAATAAAATAGTTCCGTACTGAGTAGGCAAGGTTTACCTAAGTAAAATATCTCGCGTGTAGTTTCGAACGAGTTAAATTTGCGAACTCCAAATCAAAAGTTCATCCACGGAAAAATAATTTGTACCAACCGGCAGTCCGTTGTACAGTTCCCTGTGTCCCTATTGTAATAATTCATTTATGATCGAAGTTGTGGAATATGAAACAATAATACAGAGAGATTGGGGAGTTGTTTCCCTTTGAAGCATTTTTTATCGGTGTCTTCTCTTATGGATTATTCAGTTTCTTTGTGGGAGTTGTGCAACTGTAAGATTCTATTTCTCTAGCGGTTAACCAGCAAAAAATAAATTATTGAGATATTCTTTGTTTTAGACTAGTATTAAATAAGTACATAGATGCATGTTCAGTAATCATTTACGAGTTAAGATTCAATACAAGTGGCGCTCTTCTCCTGGATCCATAATTATTAAATGTCTTGACAATCTTGAGGTTGTTCGACAAGCTTCCACTGACACAAAACTTTACTTTCAGACACATTTATAAACTTAAAGGGAGACAAATGACGGCGCAGATGCAAGAGCCTGATTTTCATAAGGGGTATTTTTTAAATGATGTTTTCTGAACTGCGTACCTCAGATGTCGTCGAATGGAAGAATTGTTATGATTGATAAATTAGAATCGATTATTCCGTGGCTTATTTTATGATATTGTCTCGTCTCTTCTTATTTTATGTTCTTGAATTAAATATTTTTTATTATTACAGAAAATTAAAGAAGCTACTACCATTGAAGTTTAATATCACGCGGGAAGTCTGATTGTAGTTAATAGACAATATGGGGAAAACAGGAAGGTCTCCGAAGTAAACCTGCTTGAGTGCCAGTTTTTCACCATAAATCCGACGCGGACTGCTCTGTGAGCGGACCCGGGCTTCTGCGATGAGAAGCGGGCGACTAATCGCGGACCAACGACACTCACGTTCTCTCACAAAATGATGTAAAATACATTAAATATTTACTTCTGAAATCGCGGTGCTTCTTATACAAAAGTGAGCAGAGTCACTGTAGCTTGAATTTTTTATGGAAGAATCGCTTGTTACGCACCTGTAAATGTAGTAGCTTTTGATAAAAAATTAATTGGAACAGAGGACTAGAGAAACATTCTCTTGTGCCACACTTTTAGAAATTTCACGCAAATGTATTCACACCCCTGTAGTTTACTTCAAGCACTTAACAAATGACGTCTCCTTGGCGATGCATTTTTTATTGTTTTTTTCTTTTACGTTTATTGTGGTTATTTGATTCTCTGAGAATCGAAACAAAGGAAAGCGAGTGGCATATGCGCGTCTAATCCACTCAAATCGTCCGTATGTCACCCTACACGGTTCTACTTCCAGATCGATTCGTTTTCAAAGTTTAAAAATGGCATCACGTGTAGGACGTCGCTTTGTTCGGTTGCCAGTTTAACAGAGATGCGGTAGTATAAGTTACGCCTACGAATAAAATCCAGCTCGTATACACAGACGTCATGAATATTTTGTTGCGGAGACAATTTTGGTTCATTGAAAGTAATAAATGCATCATTGTTTTTGTTACTACTAGGCCTTCTTATTCTTCTTCTTCTTCTTCTGTTACTACGGCCATCACTGTTATACGTCGGTTGAGTCTGTGGACTAGATTCATCTAGCTCGTGAGGGCGTTCAGGGACGGACGGGCTGTTGTGAACACGGTAATGAACTTTCACCCGTACTTCGTCATTTTGGGGGGAAATTATATATTTTTTAATATAATAATATTGTATCTCATTAATTGTTTTGTGACTAGAGGTACATTTTCAAGTACAAAAATAAGCTGAAAAATTCGTCGGCAATATTTACTTGACTGGGTTAACAACAACATAGAAATGCTTATATTCTGACTTTCGCAACGCGACCCAGTCAAAACGTTCTCGCGACGCAAGGTTTGTGAATCCTTATGTTAGTTAATTTAAATATATTTTAAGACCGAAATGAAAATAAATGTTCTACTAAGGCTGCACGATACTGTATTCAAAGGGAATATTTATTTTGAAAATTAAACATGATCGAGAGAAATATTAACAACTTAAGAATAAAAAAGGCACACGTGTGAAATTCTCATGTCGCTGCTGGGACTTTCTTTAAGAGGCAGATTTGCAGAATAAAGGCAACAAGAAGCAGACTACCGACTTTGTTGTTTAGTGGCCAGCATTTTTCCATCGCACACGATAATTCCCTTGTTCAAATCTGGGTTTAAAGTAATACTATCCTGACCGAAGTGTTTCTTGTCAGTCCCTTCAAAGAAAAATGATTTAATAGTGTCTTAAAATAAACCCCCACTTCTTCCATGTCATTTCCAATTAATTTTTCACAAATCATTCTCTTATTTAACCCTGCATAAGCTTTATAGTTAAAAGGAGTTTTTAAATTATTAAAGAATGAATCCAGAATCAAACTTCAAACTTCAGACAGATTTGACAACATACAAAAACTCTCAATTAAATTCTAAGTGTAATGTGAAAGGACTGCAGGAAGAGAGGTTTGTCATATTCTCCAATATACAGGAGAAACACTCTTCTGTACGGACGAAAAAGTTGAAAATATATGCATAAGAATGAGCATAACACAACTACGACATAATACTACAATTCAAGAACGTGTAAGGCGAAGCTCCGAGTATATTCAAGTACATTTAAATTATGTTTGTACAACTTCTTGCCGTGTTGAGACACGAGTCTTAAAATTTATTCTTATTATTGAAACCACAAAATGGCACTCGAATACAGCAAAACCTACAGGAGAACTTACATGTAGAAGAAGATTAATATAATCATGAAAGCCTGTCTTCCTCAAATAGGAGCTTAATTTATATTATAAATTATTAAAGCCATAAGCAAGGGATACGAGAGACTCAGACGCGTTTTCTTATAGCGGCCAGTCAGGTATTTTGCCTTCTGGCTTCTCGAACTCTACTAGTTGATAATTACAACTTGTGGTACTTGAAATGCCACGTAGAGGGCGTTACTATATCACAAGAATAAAAATATTACTGTAAGAGGCATTGAATTATAAAAGTTATTTTCTTGAACCTTCGTTTTGTTTCAGTTAAAGATCTAAACAAAATGTTAAGATATTTCCACAGGCATTAAACAGAAGCTTTACTTAACAAATTATGGATAAAGCATAATAAATATTATTTGTAATTTGTGCAGACAGTGGCAATTACTTACAGCTTTTCCTCGTGGAGATTTTGTGCTCTTTGAAATTAATGGGCGGCCTGGCGTATTTATACGGTGTGTACCTCCTGATTAAGATATTATCTTTACCGGACGTTTCGTGAACGATGGAGAGACTTTCACCCCTCAAGGAACTGGGGATTATTCTAACTTCCCCTGTGAATCCTTTGTGATCGTAATTCCTCACCTCTCTCTTTATAACCGGTAGCTACAGAACAATTTTTTTCGAACCCGATGTTCCTGACTCCATTGCAACAAAAATCTTTGCGATTGAGGTAGATGTGTAGGCAGCAGGTTCATACAAAATGTTAGTAAGAACCTCAAAGAGTCAAAACTCAGAATTCCACAATTTATATGTTAACCGCAATCAAAGCTCGTATGAATGATTGCATGAATATCTGGATTCCATACGAGCTGATTCTCATGAATTAAAAGGTTATAGTAGCCCTGCTCCAGCAAGAACTTTTTCTTGCTCGAACACGAAAAAGTTGCATGTGTCGCGGTTACTTACCGAGCAGCTTTGTGACGGCGCCCTGTTGCGTCAGCATGTGCTGTGCGAGGTCATAATGTCGGAGTCCGAAGCGGGAAAGCTCTAGCAATCTCTGTTGGGACACGAGGGACGCCAAGGGATGTCCCGAACCTCCCACCGAAGCGTACAAGTCCCTCAGGGCTGCAGGTGGAGGTAGAGCCCCCACACTGGGGACCGCCGTGGAGGAAGGCATTGTGCTACCGCCACTGCTCACACTCGGAGACGCCACTGCAACCAAACATAATTGTTGCTTCAGTCTGTTAATCATCTAAGTGCTCTATGGAATTTCTCACGTAAGACAAGTCAGGTATTTTAATAGGCATATATCTTAATTAGATCCGTTTCCATGGTAAATGCAAAGTCTGCTTTAGCACAGATGTGCTAAAATGGAGGCTGGACACGACGATAATGAAAGAGTCTTAATCCGGTGTTTCAGCTCTGCTAATGCTAAGTCACACCACTGGACGCAGCCCTCACGCAGTTCCGTCCACCGTCCATTATCATCGGAAATATCCGTCTTAATGCCATTTTTTCGCTGTGCAAAATTAACCGAACGCTGAAAACAAGTGAGCATTTTTATTTGCCTTGCAAACATATCCGACAGTGTTTCTGCAAAGTATTGTACTGATACGTATTTCAAATCACGCAGCTTCAAGTAAAAAGAACAAATTACTTTATGAGCGCTGTTATGCAAATGAGATGCTCGCATTTGAATTCTAGGCGACACGAAACGCGTTCCTTCACGTGTCTCGTGAATGCGTGGGTGTGTGCCTTGTGTGACGGAACACATTCACATTTTAATATAACACTTTGTCTCAGTTTCTGTGTAAGTTTGTAACTCTTCAGAAACTTGTGCCCAAAATGAGGGAACTGAAGTATGCTTATAGACCTGTATTAATGAAGTATAATTGGATAAATTACGGCACTGTGTTTGATAATGAGATTTCTTAATCAAAGATGTTATTTTTGTGTCAACTGTAGCCGAGAATCTGACGATACGGGAGAGATACATGAATTAGCGTCAGCAAAGAAGCTAACTCTGTCTGCTTGTTATTTGATTGGAAATATAAATGTCGCTTGTGACCTAATTTATTGTACGGTGCCAGTCTAATGTTTTCGTTCCAAAACCTGGAATGAGGGGGGTGGGGGTGTCACGTATTTTTCTTGTCCCGGGGTTAAAAATGGTCACTGAAACCTCTACTGATCACCACGTTTTATTATAACCAGGTGTATCAACTGGAATCCTAAGCATGGCAGCGTTTTGTTTAGTGAATTTCATATGAAGTATAATTGAATTGGAAATACTATAAAGAAATTCCATAGCATACAAATTTCTGTCAGTGTTGTTTCCAATAGACGTCCTGCTTTTAATATTAAGACTTTTACAAAATTGTCTGCCATGTACGTATAAAAATGACACCAAATTTACAAAATATGCACTAGTAATAATTTTAATAGTATCTTATTAAAAATATTTACGTTATATTAAAATAAAAGTAAAAATATGTGGATGTGATCCAAGTGGTACCTATGATGAAAACTCATTACGTAGGCCTGCAAGCTCACGTCAGGCTCTCCCACCTTCAGACTCTGAACAGACCTCATGCTCCGTGCGCACATGATCTTTTATTGCATGTTCATGTCCAGCTGTGATTTCCATTCACACACCCGCCTTCTTTTGTTTTAGTAACTCGCAGGCCATTCTGATATTCATCCGCCAACCTGTATTACATATGATTGTCATGAATGATGGATTAAAAAGTTGTAATAATTAGCATCACAAATGATCTGCCCCTACATGCAACTCATGTTGAACGTACGAAGTCAGGATCTGATAACGAAAGAACTTCCACGCTCAGCATCACGGACTGTCTCCGGTAATGGACCAATAAAGACGGCAGTGGCATGGAAGTGACGAAAACTTGACAAATGTTTGTAATTATAAGGCTACGTCTATCTTATAGCTCGGGGTTTCTGAAAGGGCGCTTTCAAGTGTTCACATCCTAAGTCATGAAACGGTATTTATGTATCAACATGACCCCGTTTTACCTCTGACGCTGACAGTCACAGATAACACACACACCTTTGCATACATCAGCTCGCCCACGCCTTATAAACGGAAATGTGTGGTATGCAAACTAAGATAGGCTCGATTGATCTTTCCAAAGAAGGAGAAAGAAAGAAAGAAAGAAAGAAAGAAAGAAAAAAGCAAAGTATGTAGTAATATGAAGGGAAAATAAGGAAGGAGAGATGAAGGAATAGGAAAAACTCAAAAGAAACGTAAACATGGGACAGGAAAAGTTGAGGAAGGGAGTGGAGGAAATGAAGAAAAGACAAGAAGAGAAACGAAAGTGGAAAGAAGTAAAGTATTAACGGAAGAAAAGAGAAGAATCAAAGATGAGGAGGTAGGGAAACACCGAATGAGAGAAGAGTAAGTATAAGGAGAAGGTAAAGACGATTAGAAGTATAAAACTGCAGAATGGTAAAATGTAAAAATATACGAAGTCGACGAAGTTGACCAGGCGTATGCAGTAGATCAGACTTGCTGAATAAAATGAGAGGCTTGTATTTTTTTTTACAGACTTAAAGGAAAACACGTTCGAAAGAAATATGCTACTGGTAAGAACTTCGCTATGTCTTCGTGTGATTCCGTGTACATATTGCAGACCGGATCCTAGCTCTATTGCCTACGCCCTGCATGTAATGCCAGTCGTCTGAAGCTTCGTTTGGTATCTTGTACCTCAACTGGTTCAGTCCTGAATCAGCGCCTTCTTATGTTAAATATCCATCCTGGTAGAATCTCCTGTTCACCTTTATTAATGCTTTCAGCTTGTACCGAAAATTGAAAACTTGGCGGAGTTAAAATATTTTTGATGGACGAGGTCAAACCAAAATTGCGTTCACAAATAAAATAAACAGCAGATTAAATTCCAATAATAATTTACTTGATACCAGAGAGTTCAGAATATTTTGTCTAATCACTGCTATCTGAAAAACGTGGCGGTTCAACCGCAGAAAACTATAAATTTACCTGATATTTTATTTGGGTGTCAAACATGGTCCCTCATATTAAATAAAGACAGAGTAAGGATTTTCGAGTACAGATTGCAACGAGAAAATTTAGACCCAAGATGGCTGAAATTATACGAAGGAAGAGAAAGCTTCATAATGAGCAGCTCCGAGGTTTATGCTCTTTACCAAATATTATTGGGATGATAGAATGAAGGGGGGTGAGATTGGCTGTAAATGTAGCACGTATGGCGGAGGAGATGAGTGAATACACATTTTCGATTGGAAAGCCTTG